AAAAAAAAAAAAAAAAAACTCTAATTGTCACATACCTCAGTAATAGGTGTATCATAGACTCTTAAATCATCTACATGCATGTACACTTTATCGCCCAAAGATTCAACACTATTCAAGAAAGAGTGAGCATCTTGTTCACCAAGGTACAACAGCTTAATGCCTCTATTTTCTCCGACGCACGCGACGTTAGTGTTATAACGGTCGGTTATCTTATAGGCACGGATTCCGGCCAGCCGCTTCTTGATTTCGGCCGTCGGCAAGGCCTGATCATTGCAATTGTTTTTTGGAAAAAGTGAACAAAAATTAGGGGTTGATAATAATTTATTGGGATTAATTTGATTAATAAAGTTGGAAAAGTGGGTTTTCAGAGTGTTGGAGGAGTTATGGAGAAGATCATCATCATCTTTCTTCTTTAAAGAACCCATTCTTTGTCGAGTCTAAAATAAAGCCGCGGGTTAATTGGACAATAAAATTGGCCATATATATAGAGAGAGATGCACATCTCTTTAGATTTATGTAAAGAAATATATATCCGAAGAATCTTTAGTACTATAAATTTAGTATATAAATCCGCGTGCCATCAGAAGTTTATTTAATGTAAATTTGTGATTCACACATATACAGATTTGATTTAACAACTGGATTTGGAAATTATGATACAAAAATTTACATTTCCTTCTTTTAATATTGATTACCATATATTAAGGAAAAATTTAAAATTAGTTCCGCAGTATACTGGTGACAATTTTGGTCCCAACGGAATGCAAAAAATATGAATAGTCCCAGAACTTTTTAAAAATAATCAAAAGTATGACTTCTTTTGCCAGATTTAATATTTTCGGATCGGAAGGCCACGTCGCGTACATGTGGCTTATTTTTTTAACACGCTGACATCCGACGTGTTCATATTTTTTTACCAGCTGTGGGACTATTCATTTTTTCTGCATTTCGTCGGGACAAAAAATGTCACACCCCCTAAACATGTGGGATCAGTTTTGAATTTTTCCCTATCTACGTCAGATGCCAACGCGTAAAAAAATAAGTCACATGTGCGCGACGTGGTGTTCCGGACCGAAAATAGTAAAACCAACAAAAAGAGTCATACTTTTAATATTTTTTAAAAGTTGTGAGACTATTCATATTTTCGGCATTCCGTTGGGACCAAAATTGTCACCTCTTATACATGGGGGACTAGTTTAAAATTTTTTCCCCATATACTATGTTTCTTATCTTACTAGTGCGTACCCCGTGCGATGCACATGACATAGATATTAAATGAGTTATTTTCACAAGTTTTGTCCGTTTAAGTCTAAAAAGTAATAGAGTTATTATCTATTTTCTACCTCTTTTAATCAACGTTAAGTCTAAAAAACAAGATGGTTATAAGCTTTTTTTTCCACATCTTTTAACCAACGTTATTTTTTGAACATTAAATATGAGCATGTTAGGGCTAGCTTGTAAAATAATTAATATATTATCTCAGTAAACATTTATACTAATAAAAAATTAATTTTAGCATATAAATTTATCCCTTGATATAAGAGCATCAACTATGCTTTGGGTTCAACCACAAAAAATTATATATCACCTAAGAAATGGACTCAGTCCAAAAAAATATATCATCAAATGTAAATAAAAGTATATTGAGTCCTGCTGAGGTTGCACTCAGAAAAAGAGACTCAGTCTACTCTTAAGTCTTTTAGATGTAAGTAGAGACCTAGTCTATTTGCATTGGAGTCAATTTTGTTAATTTTACATAGTTTTATCCATGTCATCCAAGACTTGGATTTATTTACATGTCACAGTGGCAAGACTAGACTCAATGCATTGTAGATGTTACTTATTCTTGTTCACCATATAATATTTAATTATTATTTATTATATTATAAAAAGGAATATTGTTAAATAGTGTAGTAGAATTGTTATAAAATTATATGATTTTTTTTTTTTTACAAAATACTATAGATTTATTCCTTCATGTTAAAATATTGAATTAGTATATGATTCACTAATTTGTAATTTGTCTCTTTTTATAGTAAAAATAATCGTGTGATTGAGTAGATATAACAATTATCTATAAATTCCTTCTTTTGAGGAATAATTTTTTAAATTGGTCCAAGAGTTCAATGCAGCACGATTTTCTTGTAACCACATGCAGCACGATTTTCTTGTAACCAAAATGGGAATAGTTTTGAATTTCAAGTTTTCACTTCAAAACCACATGTAAATTTGGATGCAGATTTTATTAAAAAAAATTAATTCAAAAAACCCATAATTATAGGGACATTTAATGTGACCCTATTTTATGATTTAAAAAATAAAATTTTCTAAATATAGTGCGCAATTAATTATGAGTTGACTTTCTTCCTACTAATCTAGTAAATGTGATGACTTTTTTATATAAGTATAGAGTTAACTCATATATTAATTATTATAAATATTTACTACGTCTCCCGTGCGATGCACGGGTAACAGATATTTATTAATAATTATAAACTAATTTATCATTAAATAATATTTTTAAATTAAAAATACGAAATCAATATGTAATACAATTTACCTATATTAATTTATTAAAAATATTATATAAAATTTAAGTTGTGCACAATATACATAAAAATATTTATTTAAAATTAGTACACAACTCGTAGCATGATTCAGAATAATTGGAGCGTGAGGATCAAACATGTGCACCGAGAAGCTAATTTTTGCGGCAGTTTACATGGCGAGTTTGGCAGCTTTGTCCTCGGTTGGTTTGCAGCGTGTGTCGGCTCCTCCCAGTGTGTTGGAAACAAACATCACCATGGTTGATTTAAACAAGAAACCTCAAATTGAAGGACACAAGAAACTATCAATGGCTTGAATTCAATAATAATGAAGGTTGATATATAAGAAGCCAATATATAGTCTACTAAGAAAGACCTAGAACCTTTAAGGATAAGAACAAATTAATGATGAGCTGTCCCTTTATGGCAACAAGCCAAATCATCCCAACAAACTCCAAAAGATGCCAAATTGCCAAGGAAAACGGCTAGTTTCCTGCTGTACTATTCTGGCCAAAAAGCACATGTGAGATAAAATGAAAAGAAAAGCAAGTGATTAAGATGATAATCACGTTCTTAATGAAGATCTAACACGGTGACTTAGGCCATGGCTCGATCATGATCTTATGGGGTTTCTTACTCCCGACTAACACGGTGACTTAGGCCATGGCTCGATCATGATCTTATGGGGTTTCTTACTCCCGACGCGTCCTGGCTTAACCTTCACAAAGTATAATCTGAATAAAATAAAATAAAATAAAAAACTTCACAAAGCATAAAAGAAAAACTTATAAAGTTCACTTGATCATCTCTTCTTCTGATTTTGCTCGTCAAACCATCGCCATGACATGCCGGGGCCCGCAATAAGTATATTATTTGACTTTGATATTGAGCTATCCTATAAGACATAAAGATAAAATAAAATTAAACAGTTACAATTATTGTATTTTAAAAAAAAAATAAAAATATTTATATTGTAAAATATCATATATTTGTATTTACAAGAATATATACTTATATTGTAGAATATCACATAATGTTTGTTTATGTTATTCATTGAATTAAACATCTGATTATTTGTAAGAATATCCATCCTCAATTTATATTAATTTTATTATTAACAGTCTAATAAATCTCATACCTTCTTTTCTTGTATTATTTTTTCAAGGCTCGTGACCTAAAAGACATGAAAAATATCATCATCAATCATCATTAGAGGCAAAATTTTGGCAGGGCACACAAATAATTAACAACAAACACTATAAACATACCTTAATATTGTCTATCATCATGTCACTCTTTGATAATACTGCAGAACGAGTGTATTCAAGGTCCTCCTGCTCGATTCAGACGCATATCAAAGTTCAAACAATTTTATTAGCTTAAGAAACGACAAAAACTTCATTTCGACATTTTTTTTTTTCGAGCTACCTTTCTTAAGTAACAAGGACGATATCTCTTTCCTCTACCATCATCCACCAACAAACCATCCGACTGCAAAAGGACATTTAAAAAAATTCATTAACATGACAATTTGACGATGCTCCACAACCATAGATCAATAGAATGCCTATTGTTATAATGTTCCGATTTGATTGGATTTTTTTGACAATTGTGCATATGAGCATATGATAAAGTTTTTATATCATTATTAACTATATATAAGCGACATATTTTTTTTTTTTAATAAAAAAAGGACGACAAAAATGAAATTACTTTGAATTTATTAAATATATCAAGCGTATTTATGATTCGATATTAATTTCTTCATTCGTGTTTATTACTCGTTTGTAGATCCTTGTTTTGGTTGTTTGCGTACGAATGTGCGACTGATGTTTACATGCAACTGATCAAAACAAAAAGAGAAGATAATTTATTGCTAGGATTAGAGACTAAATAAATATAATCTTATAAACTATTAGGAGTTAATTATTTATTTTGAGAACATATAGACAGCAATTACTCCACAATTTAACTTGTTCGAAAGACAGGTTAGACGACTACTGTGATATTTCTACGAGTAGTGAAATTAAATGGGGTTTACATGAATTATTATCTTTCGTGAATAGAATTTAGATTTTATTTTTTATTTCTCATTAGATTAGTTTATTCATCCTTGAACTAGTACTCGTCTAAATATTATCGAGACGACACAATCGTAATAACTAATTAGTTGACACAAATTTATGTTGTACACCACATTGTTCGTCAATCACTATAGCTACCCAAATATACTGAGCACAACTTAGTCATACTCGTCCAGCTAGCCTTGTTCGAGTTCTAGCATGCCCGTGCACGGTTAATTCTCATTTCACTCACCTAAGAATTCGTCAAAAGACCAAACGCGACTCGATTTTGATTTTGAGACTCGTATTTTTCCACATATACAACTTAAAATCAATTTATCATTCATCCTACAAAATAATTTTGAGAATTTTTCTAAGTCTCCCATTATTGAAAGTATTTTGTAATTAGTAACTAATAAATGTGGAGCATAAAACCTGGAAAATAGGAACTCCTCGAAAACTGCCTTCGACCGTATTCTTGTTGGTATTCTTTTTAAGTATCTGAAAGGAAAAATAGAAAATCGCAGCAAGCATGGAAATGGAAAATCGACATTATTGCCTTGTGTTTCACTGAAATGGTAAGCTTACAGCTGCTAGGGTTTTTGCACAGTTATATACATTGACAAGACAAGAAATCCCTCAGCTCACTTCACTCTCAACCTTAGGATGACTACACGTGTCATGATCCTGTTCAGTTTGCATGGGGCCACAGTAGCCGAGATTTGATTGGCCCTTTACCTTGCTTGTTCCCTTCTTATCCAACAAACCAATGAGCTGTCCATCTTTTTCTTGACATGAGGGAATAATGTGATGTTT